TTTTCATTGAGAGTCTCTGTTATCTCTCACATCACTCTAGTAGGAATTACCAAAAAAATTCTGAAAAATGGGAAAGCTCAAAAGCTTCTAGCAATTTTCCAGGTCCGTAACTCAAAATCGGGAAGATTAATGAAAAAATGGTCAAGTGGACCCGACAGCTTGAGCGCGCCACTCCAGAAGCTGGCCCCCTATTGAAGCTCGGGTGGAATGACTCCCCCTCTCTCCAGTAGATCCGGCCAAAGCCAATTTTCAAGAAGAAGAAGAAGGAGAAGAAGGAGAAGAAGGAGAAGAAGGAGAAGAAGGAGAAGAAGGAGAAGAAGGAGAAGAAGGAGAAGAAGGAGAAGAAGAAGAAGAAGAAGAAGAAGAAGAGCTTCGGCCATATATATTAATAGTCATACCATATATACGAGATATATTCAATCATTTAAATATAATTTAAATATATACGAGATATATTCAATCATTTAAATATAAAGAGCTTCGGCCATTCATCAAGGAAAAAAGTTATAATGCATAAATTATAAATTCATAGTATTACTATATCACTATGTTAGGTAGTGTACAAACATACAAAATTAAATTCAAATTCCTAAATAGAAGCCAGCTGTGTACGTACTTTGAAAATAAGTTTGAAAATAAGTTTTAATAATACCAACTATATAAATATAGACCAAAAGTGATATAGAGCATATTTTTACTAAAAATTCAACTATTTAACTCATCAAAAACTTGTATGAAAATATCTAATTAGTGAATATGTTTCCAAATATCATTTATTTGATGGCTTGACATTAGCTTTTGATGTCTTAAATGATCGGTTTTTTGTCAAAAAAACGAGTCCATATCATTTTTGTTTGACATTCAAATAGTTGGTATTATTAAAAGTCATTTTCGAAGTTTGTATTATTATTGGTTCATGGATGATAGTTTGTATTATTTAAAGTTATTTTTCCTTAAACCTTATGATACATTGGTATCACTTTGTATTTTGACACATTAGTATCAATTAAATTTATGATACATTGGTATCACATAATGTTAATGATATATAAATTTATACATACACACGAAACATAAGATTATATATTACTTGAAATATAAAAACGACAATATATAAAAAAGCGCTTCTTTATTCAAAAAAAGAATTATCAATTACAATTCGAATGTCATACATATTCCAACATTACAAAGTTAACTAAATCTGTAATAAACTAATTTGAGATCATCCAACTGCTATAAGCTCCACCTATGACTAAATCAGTTGATCTTCAATATGAGAGCATAGATCCTCCCGTTTTTAAAGCACTCGTGAGGATCCAAACTGGCATTTGCTAGATAGGAGCTGCAAATTGTCAAGGTTGAGATGCAACTATAATGATATATATTCAATATATAAAACTAAACTCATAAAATGGAATTAATTGAAGAATTAATTTTTAAAGGACAAAGGAGGACGATCGTGAGAAGACTGAAAGGAAACTACTTGTTTGTTAAGCTCTTCTTCATTATACTAGTAACAGAAGAATTAATTCACTTCTTTAAATTAAACTCCTTTTCATTACTACATTGTGCCCGTGTTATTTATATTGTCCCTTGCTGTTTTGGACACTTGCTAATGTAATGCACATTGTTCGACTTTTATTTTTTTCTTCTTTATCTTTAGATAAATAATTCTGCGTTGCTTTTGTTGTCTGTCGCCCCCCCCGCCCCCGTTGAGCATTGACCTCATGCAACGCGGGTGCCAAAACTAGTACTCCCTCCGTTTCTAAAAGAAAGTCACGGTTTGACTTCACGATTATTAAGGAAATAAATTGACTTTATTGTAGAAAACACTGTTTAGACACTGTTTGACACTGTTTGACACTGTTTGGATGTAGATTTCTTTGTCAAATAAGGAAATAAGGGAAGTGTGACTTTTATTTTGGCACATCCAAAAAAGGAAAGTGTGAAGTTCTTTTAGAAAGGGAGGGAGTATATGAATATATTTAAAATGCATTATGTTATGCGAACTTTGTTTGAGAGAATATGAAAATGACAATTAAAGTTTCTTATAAACCACTAATACGATTTTATTCTCACAGATATTTCTTTCGAGAAAATGGTCCTCTAAAACATGTTAGAATCTCAAACAGTCAAACTGTTCCCTCTTAGAATTAGGAAGGCACGAACTATGTTTGTAGCATTTGCCAGACTATGAATCAACAGAAACATGCGAGTCAAAGTAACTGGTTACTCACTTTACCGCTTTCCCTTTCCTAATACAAAATCATTGGCCTTCTACCGATCCCGGCCACCGATCATCTGAAGGGTGAAGACTCCACCATCACGAACAGCAGATTCACTGAAAGTGTGGAACAGAGATAGACGCTGAAAGAATGTCAGAGAACTTCGAGCTGACTTTATAGAGAGAGGGAGAGAGGGGTTTTTTGTTTCTTTTGTTGCTACTGAAAAGATGAATCCGAGCAAAGTTGAAGAAGACATTTTCAACCACCATGTGAGCCCGCACCACCACCACATCCTGAATCAAGCTCAGCCGCCGGTTATAGACCAACGCGCCGAAGAAGACGAGCCTTTTACTTTTCACGACCTCGTCCTCTTCCGCGACGACGAAGATGACGACGACGCCAGCCATACCTCATCGGAATCCGAGCTTCCCCTCATCCACCGGAATCGGCGTCAGTCCTCTTCTAACCCGCCACCGCCCCTGCAGACACGGAATCAGTCGGATTTGGACGAATCCGTCTTCCGAAGCCCTAACCCTAGCCCCAATTTGGGCGCTGAGAAGAGGCATCGTTATGAACCCGGATACGTCAGCCCGGACCCACACATCTCCTCCCAGTTCTACACATTCAACAAGGAATCTCACTCTCTGATGATACGCTGCCTCCTAGAAGGCCGCCCTGCAACTCCTGAAGAAATCCGGGCTGCCAACCCTGCCTCCGTCCTCTCCAGCTGGCGTGCTGTCTGGAAGGACCGCAATGAAGACACGGCCTACCTTACTGCCTGGAAGCGCATCCAGGACAAGCTCAGCGCGCATGTCAACACCTCCACTGGTAATGAGTACTTGTACTTCAAGAACAATTCCAATCAATGTGTTTCCCATGTTGACCAGTGGTATGGTATAGTCACTCATTTCCATTGCGATGCCGAATCTAAACACTTGGGTCTCAAGGAAACCCTTGAAAGAATCAAACAAATGTGGACTGTAGGTGCAAAGTTCTATGGTATCCCAGAGAGTTATATTAGAGTGTGTGTGTCTGTGTGCCCGGTTTGCCTAGATGAAACATCTGGGTGCGCCCCACGTGGCAAACGACGCAGGTTTGAGTACACGGAATCGATTGATGTTCCGGCTAAAGAAGTCCCTACGCGATTACAACAGTTAGCTGCAAAACATAAGGTTGTATTGTGTATAAGGCAGAAGTACATTCGGTATAAGCCGTTCATGGCGGAGGTTAAAGATTACACATGTCACCGAGCGGGCGAGCCGGCATCCTCAAAAAAATCAAAGCTTTTGAAGAGAGAGCCTTATATGTCGAAGCGGTGTGGGTGTGGGTTTCGGATTCGGGCGATTGTCCCAATATCAAACTATAACGAGAAAGATAAGACTTTTGTGTATCAAGAAGAGGGTATGGCTGTTTTTAAGCTATATGCAGTGCATTCGGGGCACCAGCCGGGCCCATCTGATGGGAACGCAAGAATCATGCACCGTGTTGTTGGGCATAAAGGAGGCTTCTTGATGATGGATCAAGAAACAATTTATGGGGTGAGAGAAGAAGTAGATAATGAGGATTTTGGGGATATGCAGCACTCAGTTTTGCAGCAATTGCAGGAGGCAAAAAATGAGATCGAGCTTATGGAAGGGCAAATAGGGAAGTTACCTGATGAACTTTTGTGTTCTGCTTCTCGGGAGCTGCTTGATATTGTAAGTAAGCTTAAAAGTGTTAGAGAGTGCTGTTCATCTAAGTCAAATGGAATTGGTGTGATCCCTGACAAACATGATACAGATGATGTCATGGTGGGGGGAAATGATTTGGTCGATTGGGGTGGCGGTCATCATCAAAGGTTGTATGATGATGGAAAGGAAGCTGAGTTTATTGAAGAAGATGAAGACAGCTTTGGTAGAACACTTGGGGAAGTTGCTTCTTGGGATCAAATGAGGACGGTTTGTAAGTCAGACAAGCAACAACTGAAAGGCATCGAGTTTGATGAGAAAAGCTTTCTTGATTCCAGGGATTCAAAATTGACCAAACCCTTGCTAAGGCATGATGAGAGTATAGATACTGATGTAGGATTTGTTGTCGAAAATTTCTATGAAAATCCGAAATGGTTTGATTCACCATGTGGGTTAGACTCCGGAGCAGATTGTGGTGACAGTGAATTCAGGCCTGGGGGGATTGTTTAGAAATACACTCAAACTGACATTTATTTTTTCCTTGGTGTTATTCTTCATCCGTTTGAATTGTTGAAAGTGAGTTGTACATGTGTATTTAAACAAAAAGATTGATGGTTTTCGTAGCATTTTAGTTGTCTTTCCTGATAGTATTTTTAGTTTGTCTAGGTAAAAAATGTAACTTTGGTTCTTCATTTGGATATCTCTGGCTGTCCTTTCTTGCTATTATTATTAATATAATGTTTTTCCTATGTCTGTCGTTACATTAATGGTAATCTTAGGTTGTTTCGTTGCTTTGTTAAAATATAAACTGTGTCTTCATTTTGATATTCCTACCAGTCTTTTTGAGTAAGAGCTAATAAGAATATGGGTTTTAGCTTGTCTAGTATATCTAGAACAATGAAACTGAAATACTACGTAGTGTTTTCAGAAAGTCATTAAGTTTTCTGACATCATCAAGTGTAACAGAAAGTCTAAACTGAAACTATTTTCAGTTCAGAACAATGAAACTGAAATAGTGTTGATTTTTATTTTTTCCTACGCAATATATATATATATATATATATATATATATATATATATATATATTTCAGAAAAGCTTTATGGCTGTGATAAATCTTTCGATGGTTGGTGGCTATTGTGATATGGAATTTAGAGATAAAGAAACGTCTCTTGCAAAAGGTCTCAAGTTTGGGGTTTCTGTGGAAAAGCTGAACCCTTTTCAAGATGGAGAAAGAGGCTGTTATGACAATTTAACTTGCAAACATTTGCTGGTGATGGTTGTCCCGTTTTGGTGAGTAAATATTTGTCTCTCCACCCCTTCCCTTATTTCATGAGTTAAAATTTCATAAGCACGAAACTGTTATCATAGTCATAATGGTGAGTGGAAACATACTTGAGACCTTTGGCCATAGTCCTCTTGATGCCTGCTAATAGTCTAATACTCCGTATGTACTTGAGAATTTGGACAGAACTTTTAGTGAGGCCTTCATTTAGTGAAGGTTGATTACTTTTATTCTTTACTTTTTATTTTTGACCAATTGCATCAGGCCACCAAGTTGAGATGCAAGCTATAGCCCCATAGGTTAAAGTGAATTAATTACTCTTCATTTTGGCTCTGGTCCAATTCAGGTTGGATAGTCCGGAGAGTATTCTGGAGGGATGAAGTCTATATATCTTGATACACATTTGAGATTTGATTTTAAAAAGTAATGGAATAGGCGACTGTATAACATACTAATCAACAATTATTTGTTTTTAGAAACATTTTACTCCGTATTATTTATAAATATGGCCTCAAAGTTTTTCCATCCAAAACCTTCCAGCTGAACTGATACTGAAGTGTGTCTAATAGAATGGGCTATATATTACTATCTGAACATATATTGCATAGAATATTCACCTAAGTAATGGGATCTTTGTATGAATACATCAAGATACAGGACACAGGAGCTAACAAAGAGCGTTTACCACCTAGTTTTCTTTTTATTCTAAGTAAAGCTACGCTTAGATTTACTTCTTAGATACACTGATACATGATAAAGGAAGAAAAGAGTACCCAGGGGTTTTTTGCTAACTCTCAAATGAAATCCTGATCTGAGGATTTTTTTCTAACACCTCAAAGTTGTTCTTTTGCAAATACTCCCCTATTTAGATGAAATAGTGCCATTTGAATACCAAACTAAAGATAACTTCAAGTCTTCAACTGGATAAAAGGTCAGTTGTTTGATTTAACATGTCGTGGCCATATAACTGACCGCTTCTTTTTATGCTGACTTGGATTTTGCTCTTTTTCTTTTAAAGGACAGCCAAAGTCTCTTCACCTTGCTGGAACATCCCTTTGTCAGTACTACCTCAAGAAAGGATGTTATTTTCAAAGACTTAGGCGCTGGTTTACTATCAAACTCCGTGGGTTTCAATCTGATTGTTAAGAACTGTTATGGGTCCAGCCCATATTTGCAATATCTTCTTTTGTTGTTTATGTTTTGGGCCTTGTTTGAAGGATTTTTATGTCCTATATTTTGGGTCCATTTGATATTGAGTTTTGGGCTTCTAAAACATTTTTTTTAGAGTCCAACTTGCTGTAAAAGATCAGCTGGAGAAGGCTTTCCAAGACAGAAAAACGCACACACACAAAACAGAAGGTTTTGGGGACATATTCCAGTTTTTCGACCTGCAGTACGTTGCTTCATTCAGCTCGTCGATCGGAGGTCTTCCCGTGGTCGGATTTTGCTGAAATTTGGACAGCTTGTTCGTGACTTCAAGGGCTTCATTTTGAACGGTCGGATTGTTCAGTTGAGCTCTGGTTTGGTCAGAATCACTGCACGAACAGACCTGCAGTTTTTGGGTGATTTCTACATCTTATTGTGCTATTTCAATCTCTTATTGTTATTGGTGATTGTTGGTGGGCTGTGAATCCTTTGTAGACTGATTTGGGGTTCTTTTACCCTCATTTATCAATAAGAGAATTAAGGGTGGACTCCTCAAGAGGTCCCGTGGTTTTTTATCCTTCACATTGAAGGGTTTTCCACGTAAAAAATCTTGTGTGCTCCGTGTGCTTTATTTCCTCTCTTTGTTGTGCTTTATATTCTGCAATTGTGCTGGTTTTGTGTGGTAATTGGTTGTGTGTCAGTTTGGGTTGCTCATTTAGTTGATTGTCTTGAGGTTGTGACTTTGTGGGTGTTATAGAGACACCTTATTTGACCCCTACAACTTGGTATCAGAGCCTGGGTTTAATCTGTCACATTATGGAGTCGGGTAGTAGTAACTCAATGGTAAAATTGACATCAACTAATTATTCTATTTGGAGACCTATGATGGAAGACATGTTATATTGCAAGGACTTGTATGACCCAATAGAATCTGTCACCAATACTGATGGTACTGTTTCTAAACCATCCAAACCAGAGAAAATGGAAGATAGGGAATGGCTAAAGTTGAAAAGAAAGGCTTTAGGGACTATTAGGCAATGGGTTGATATAAGCATTTTCAATCATGTGTCACAAGAGTCTGATCCTTATGAATTGTGGAAGAAGTTGGAAGGTCTTTATGAACGGAAGACTGCTCATAATAAAGCCTCTTTGATCAAGAAACTTGTTAATTTGAAACTGAAAAGTGGGAAGTCTGTTTCTGAGCATCTTAGTGATTTTCAGGATATTATTAACAAGTTGACTACTATGAAAATTTGTCTTGATGATGAGTTGCAGGCTTTATTTCTCTTGAGCTCTTTGCCAGACAGTTGGGAAACCTTGGTTGTGACTATTAGTAACTCTGCTCCGGATGGTGTGCTATCTTTGGATGTCATCAAAGAAAGCATGTTTAATGAAGAAATCAGAAGAAAGGAGATGGGAGTTGATAATACACATGCTCTTGTTGTTGAGAACAGAGGAAGAAGCAAGAGTAGGGGTCCCAAAGGTCACAATAACTCAAGAAGTAGGTCTAAATCCAGTGATGGGAAGAATGCCAATACATGCCATTATTGCAAGAAGCCTGGTCATATCAAGAAATATTGCTTCCGTATGAAAAGGGAACAAAGGAAGAAGAATGACTCGCAGAAAGAGGGTGATGACAAAAACACTACAGCAATAGCTTCTAAGAGTGATGATGATGTTACTTTGATTTGTGCAGCTAGTGAGTGTCATCATGTTGATAGTTCAGACTCTGAGTGGCTTGTAGATACTGGTGCTTCATACCATTGTGTTCCCAGAAGAGACTACTTCATGACCTACCAAGCTGGTGATTTTGGTAGTGTTAAGATGGGTAACCAAAGTTCAGCAAGTATTGTTGGATTAGGTGATATTCGTGTGAAGACTAGTGTCGGATGCATACTTACATTGAAAGGTGTGCGGCATATTCCTGATCTACGCCTTAATTTGCTATCTGCTAATGTTCTTGATCAAGAAGGTTTCAAACACACTTTTGGAGATGGCAAGTGGAAATTGTCTAAGGGTTCTATGACAGTTGCACGAGGCGAGTTGTGTTGCTCTTTGTACAAGACATATTTGACTGTATGTTCTGGTGAACTCAATGCTGTAGAAGAGAAGAATTCTCCTAACTTATGGCACCGAAGATTGGGACACATGAGTGATAAGGGGTTGAAATGTCTTGCAGGTAAATCTCTTATTCCCATTGATACTGCAGTTGCTCTTGACCCTTGTGATCATTGTTTGGCAGGTAAGCAGCATAGAGCTTCTTTTGCCAGGAAGTCTACTAAGAGGCAAGCTAAGCTAGAGCTTGTACACTCCGATGTTTGTGGTCCCATTGAGGTAGAGTCTAATGGTGGCAGCAAATACTTTGTCACTTTCATTGATGATGCTACCAGAAAAACTTGGGTTTACATGTTGAAGACCAAGAGCCAAGTGTTTGAGACATTTCAGAAATTTCATGCTATGGTGGAAAGGGAGACGGAAAGAAAACTAAAGAGCCTTCGTTCTGACAATGGTGGTGAGTATACTTCACATGAGTTCAAGAATTATTGTTCACAACATGGCATTCGACATGTGAAGACAGTTCCTGGCACTCCACAACATAATGGTGTTGCAGAGAGGATGAACAGAACCATTGTGGAGAAAGTGAGGTGTATGTTGAAGATGTCTGATCTACCTAAGTCATTTTGGGCAGAGGCAGTGAACACTGCTGTTTACTTGATTAACCGTTCTCCATCTATTCCTTTGGGTCTTGACATTCCAGAGAGAGCTTGGAAGGGATGTGATCCCACATATTCACATCTTAGAGTCTTTGGATGTAAGGCTTATATGCATGTGCCGAAAGATCAAAGGTTGAAGCTTGATTCCAAGACTACTCCATGTGTGTTTGTTGGCTATGGTGATGAAGAGTACGGGTTTAGGCTCTATGATCCTGAGAAGCAGAAGGTAGTGAGAAGTAGAGATGTCGTGTTCTTCGAGCACGAGAAGGGAGCAGAACTTTTGGGTGTCAGGTATCATACTTACTCTGATTCTTTTGTTGATACTACTGATGTTTCTTCTGTTCCTACTTCTGTTTCTGTTGAACAGCCATCATATGATGATCTTGATACACCACATGATGGTGTTGAGGATATGCAACCCGATGATGATGATGATGGTGATGTACCACCGTTTGATGATGCTCCTAATGATGCTCAAGCAAATAATGAAGAGGTTCATGAGCAAGGGGAGCAAAATACCCCGCCAGATGATGATGTTCTGATTAGGAGGTCAACGAGAGATCGTAAACCTTCTACAAAATATCCAAGCACAGACTACATCTTAGTTACTGACGAGGGGGAGCCTGAGAGTTTTCAAGAAGTGCTGACTAGTGAAGAAAAAGATCTTTGGCTCGAGGCTATGAAAGAGGAGATGGATTCCTTGAAGAAAAACAATACTTATGAGTTAGTGAATCTTCCCAGAGGCAAGAAAGTCTTGAAAAACAGATGGGTTTTCAAGAACAAGAAAGATGGTGAGAAGATAGTGAAGCGGAAAGCTCGATTGGTGGTCAGAGGATGCAACCAGAAAAAGGGCATTGATTTTGATGAAATCTTCTCCCCTGTTGTCAAGATGACTTCTATTAGAACTGTTTTAGCAGTAACCGCAAGTCTTGATCTTGAGTTGGAGCAGCTTGATGTAAAAACTGCTTTTCTACATGGTGACTTGCATGAAGAGATCTACATGGAGCAACCCGAAGGATTTGAAGAAAAGGGGAAAGAGAAACTTGTTTGCAAGTTGAAGAAGAGTCTTTACGGGCTTAAACAGGCACCGAGGCAGTGGTATCGGAAATTTGATTCGTTTATGACAAGCAATGGTTATAAACGGACTTTTGCAGATCCTTGTGTGTATTTCAGAAAGTTCCCAGGTGGCAACTTCATTATCCTTCTTTTGTATGTAGATGATATGCTGATAGTTGGGCAAGATTCAGTGATGATTGACAACTTGAAGAAAGATTTGTCCATGTCATTTGATATGAAAGATTTGGGTCCTGCAAAGCAAATCTTAGGCATGGAGATTGCTCGTGACCGGAAGGCTAGAAAGTTGTGGCTTTCTCAAGAAAAGTATATTGAACGTGTGCTTCAAAGGTTCAATATGAAGCAAGCCAAGCCGGTTAGTACACCACTCGCATCACATTTTAACCTTAGTAAGAGAGCTTGTCCTACAACAGAGAAGGAGAAAGCAAGTATGTCCAATATTCCTTATTCTTCTGCTGTTGGTTCTTTGATGTATGCTATGGTGTGTACAAGACCCGATATTGCACATTCTGTTGGTTTGGTGAGCAGATACTTATCTAATCCGGGTAAGGTACATTGGGATGCAGTGAAGTGGATCTTCAGATACTTGCGTGGCACTTCCAAACTTTGTTTGTGTTATGGAGGTGGCAAACTAGTTCTTGAGGGGTATACAGATGCAGACATGGCTGGTGATCTTGACAGTAGAAAATCTACCTCAGGTTATGTGTTCACACTTTCAGGGGGAGCCATTTCATGGCAATCTAAATTACAAAAATGTGTGGCTTTGTCGACTACTGAGGCTGAATATATAGCAGCTGTGGAAGCAAGTAAGGAAATGCTTTGGTTGAAGAGGTTCCTTCAAGAATTGGGTTTGGAGCAAGGTGAGTATGTAATATTCTGTGATAGTCAGAGTGCTTTAGATTTGAGCAAGAATTCCATGTATCATGCTCGAACCAAACATATTGATGTTCGGTATCATTGGTTGCGGAATGTGATTGAAGAAAAGTTGATGAAACTGAAGAAAGTTCATACAAACAAAAACGGTGCGGACATGCTAACTAAAGTGGTTCCAGGAAGCAAGCTTGATATTTGTGGCAAGCTTGCAGGGATGAGCTTCAAGTGGTGATTGAAGAGTGTTCGTCTTCCCCGTGTTGGGCTGGAGGGGGAGATTGTTATGGGTCCAGCCCATATTTGCAATATCTTCTTTTGTTGTTTATGTTTTGGGCCTTGTTTGAAGGATTTTTATGTCCTATATTTTGGGTCCATTTGATATTGAGTTTTGGGCTTCTAAAACATTTTTTTTAGAGTCCAACTTGCTGTAAAAGATCAGCTGGAGAAGGCTTTCCAAGACAGAAAAACGCACACACACAAAACAGAAGGTTTTGGGGACATATTCCAGTTTTTCGACCTGCAGTACGTTGCTTCATTCAGCTCGTCGATCGGAGGTCTTCCCGTGGTCGGATTTTGCTGAAATTTGGACAGCTTGTTCGTGACTTCAAGGGCTTCATTTTGAACGGTCGGATTGTTCAGTTGAGCTCTGGTTTGGTCAGAATCACTGCACGAACAGACCTGCAGTTTTTGGGTGATTTCTACATCTTATTGTGCTATTTCAATCTCTTATTGTTATTGGTGATTGTTGGTGGGCTGTGAATCCTTTGTAGACTGATTTGGGGTTCTTTTACCCTCATTTATCAATAAGAGAATTAAGGGTGGACTCCTCAAGAGGTCCCGTGGTTTTTTATCCTTCACATTGAAGGGTTTTCCACGTAAAAAATCTTGTGTGCTCCGTGTGCTTTATTTCCTCTCTTTGTTGTGCTTTATATTCTGCAATTGTGCTGGTTTTGTGTGGTAATTGGTTGTGTGTCAGTTTGGGTTGCTCATTTAGTTGATTGTCTTGAGGTTGTGACTTTGTGGGTGTTATAGAGACACCTTATTTGACCCCTACAAGAACAGCCTGTTATTTAATTCAAATGTTTTGTAAGATGTTTTGTGAAGACCCATGAGGACTACCTCAGCAAGTCGTACAACCTTAGCTCACAAGTAACGCTGCAGCAGTAATGGGACGCTGTGCTGCTGCTGCTGCTGCTGCTGCAATGGAGCGTCCTAGTCTGCAATCTTATTTCTTAGGTCTTGTTTGGTTGGTGGATTTTGGGGGGAAGGGGATGGGGGGATTTAATTTTATTCCACTAATTTATTTCTATTTGTTAGAGAAATGTTCTTTTTTGCACTTCACCACTAAATAAATGAACTATGTTTGCACTTTTGCTCCTTTAGTCCTTTTAGTTGCATTGTGTTATTTTAGGCATTATGTTACTAGCTTTTTATATTATCAACTTCCAGTTATTCCTTTTTCTTAATGAGATTTTCACATTGCACTTGAACTTCAAGCTGTGTCATAACATCTTTCCAATGTCCAATATTTTGACTATAATGCAATTTTTTCGCTTTGCTGGTGTTTTGTCACTTTATGGCTGTATGCTTTTCCAGTATTTAGATGAGTTCTGACATTCAAGTCAAGGACTGTTGATAAGATATGCTATTAAATCTGGAATTAATAGTTGAATTTAGAGGCTGGTTTTTTCATCAGACTTAATGGGATTAATAAGTCTTCCATCAGTGAGGGGCAGCAATTCAAATAAAGCATAAAATTCGTCATTATTTTAAATGCAAATACTTTAGGATCATGTCTGCAAATGAGCGCGATCTTAAGATCATTTTGCACCTTTTTTCTACAATTATTCATTAAATAAAGTATAATTGTATTCTGAATATTCATCAACATTCACTTGTGACCGACACGAAATGCACAATTTAGGGGGGAATAATGTTAACAAGACCTGGCGTACTTGTTTATTTTTATGTAGTTAGTAATTAGACTGAAGTTTTGCTCTTTGGTTTTCTATAGAATTTGTATACTCCGAATCTCTCATAGCAGGCTTGTACGCATATACATATACTAGTTTATTTACGCGCTTTGCGCGATCGAGTTGATGTCCAATATTATCTACACGTGTGTAATGTAAATAATGAAACATATTATTATAGATCTAGTCTGTATATCTATACTTCATAAATAAAAAATAAGTAGACACACAAGTTCATAGATTACAAAAGCAAAATAATGGTAAGAATATTAGCAATGAGGTTCTATTAGACAAAAATATGACCATTTGGACCTTTACAAAAAAGTGGCTGACATCTTATCTACCCATCAACAGATCGAATGCGGCTGGGAAGAAGGATCAATTGATCTCCATCGCTCCTCTATTGTCCAACTCACAACATGGATCATTCGATCTCCACCGCTCCTCCATCGCCGAACTCACAGTCGGCAACCAACGCCTCTGGTGGTCTCCATCCACCTTCTCTGCTTGTTGGTTGCCATCGCCCTGCCCAATCCTGCACCGATTTCTATTCCTTCTGTTTTTGTCCAGTCAATGGGGAGGTGGATAAGAGTCGAATCGCCGTCATCTTCATCCATTGAGCCTTGATATCTAATTGTGTGATACCAAATTGCTCGATTGTCCCGGGTGTTGATGCTAGGTTTTGAGATCTGCGTTCCGCGATGGTGGCAGGGAGGTGGCAAGGGAGTGGCGGCGCGACTAAATTTGGATGGCTAGGGTTTCAGGTGTTGGTGCGGCAGTTGGGATAGGGGCTGGGGGTTGGGAAGGTGGGCTAAATTGGTAGCTGGCTTATGTGAAGGATGATAGGGATGTGGTTGTGACAGGGAAGGGGCTGCGGCTAGCTAGGGAGGGTGCAGGGGCTGGTGGGCACATGGACTGGTGGAATGGGGTTGGAGTTGTGGTCAATGAGTTTGGAGTGTTGGGGCATGGGGCTGGTGGTTTTCGCCCTTCGGGGGGGCTGTGGCCGGTGGGGCTATGCGGTGATCACTGCATGAAGCAGTGTAGTGGTTGTAATTGGGGGTGCTGGTGGCGGCGTTACTGTGGTGGTGTCACTATGGCCTCCGATAGTGTCACTATTGTGGTGTCACTATGGCCTGCGGCAGTGTCACTGTGGTGGTGTCACTATGGCGGTGTCATTGTGGTCAGCGTCGTCAATGACACGAGCAATGGTGACGAAGTGACACAGGCAATGGCAGCAGTAGTGACACAAGCAATAACGGCAGTGGTGTTCGACAGTGACATGAACATGGGACGGTGACATAAATATTTGATTGTCACTTTATTTTAGTCACATTTTAGTCACATTTTTATCCAAAGGTGAAAGTGGTCACATTTTTAAAAATCGACTTAACTTGGTAATATTCAGGCGGTCCTTCTCCGCGCACCTCCCAAATTTCTAAGTGCGCCTCTTTTACTTCAGAGATGGACCACTCTGCCCTTTCATTATACCAAGTACTCCGTAATTCCGTATCTCATGTTCAATGAGCAACATTAGCGGTACTTGTTCGTTTCTTCATCTCAAAGTCCCTTCTTATTTTTTGTTTACTTTTCTTATTTTAATTGTTTTCATATTTTAAAATTACGTTGTTGGAGGAAGTGATTCTTCATATCCAGTTTTAAAATTACGTTTTAAAACTTTCAAGCACTTCTTAAAATTACGGTTGTTGGAGAAAGTGATTCTTCATACCCAGTTCTCCAAATTTTTTAACAAACACAATAACACGTCTATATTTTAACAAAACTAAAAGATATAAGGGACAAACATATCTTTATTTTAAAGAACCTTTTCATTTTCACATAGGGTAATGAGTGTAACCACAGGTGGATTGGGGATTTTTTTACATACAATTGCACCCGCCCCATTGATTAATTTCCCTGGCCCGTAACTATCTCCTTACTCAACGAGTAATTTTTAGTGGAAATTACCCGTTTCACCTACTTTTGGGTATGCTATTTCATTTATAGCCCAATACATTATCCTTTTCATCTTTAGACTTTTACATTATCACTTTTGAACTTCTCAATTTCTAAAATAGTTTCCCCGTTAGAATTAAACCCAGTTACCCAACCCTCCGTCTCCAATGAAGTCTGGCCTCCTAGCAGCTTCAAACCTCTGTCCAACCTCCAAAAACGCCACCGCCGAATACACTTCTCTGATCTGTTTCTCTCCATCACAGAACCACTCTCATATAGTCGTGGAGCGCGATCCAAATCAACCCTGGTTACTGGCTTAAAGTTCTCTCACCGTCTCAACCAATGAGCGCGATAACTAGCCTGCGCCGCCACCGTCGAAGCCCAACCGCCTGACGATTCTTTGATTGACAGATTCATGAAACTGTTGGGTAATTTTGAATCTATATCTTTTGTGTCCGAAATTTGTTCGTACGATATGTCTTACGAATGTGTACTTCTCGAATTGCCATTAATGCTGAATGAAATCAACTAAAAAAATATTGCACTTCCGGACTATATATTGATTTCTGTTACTAGATGTTTAATTTAAACAGATTTGTTTCGGATTATCACGATTTTTTAATATATAGGTCGTTTATTAAATTTAGTGCATTGTCTAATTTGTGCAGCTAACACATGTCTTCTGATCGATCATTCGATCTGAGGAAAAAAACGAGGCTTCAAAATTTCCCTTCTGATTTGCCAATGTTTAGGAGTTACGTTTTTCTTTCTTTTTGACGAAAATGTTTAAGAGTTAAGGTGATCAGTGTTAAATCATGTCCTGAATATTCAATGTGAGGCTACGATCTATGTTTTCATTCATTTTTTTGAGTTTAGTTGATCAGTGTTTGTTCATCCATGAAATTTCTTAAGAGTTACAATGACTGATGATAGAGATCAAGGTTCATGCTATCCACATTTCTTCCTAGTCTTGCTTTCATGATTGCCTCATTACCGGGTCCAATATGAACTGTTAGATGGAATAATGGAAATTAAACAGGATGAATATTGGCCATACAAGTGATGATTGTTTATCTTTGAGGAGGCATTCCCATCAACAACTAATGCAAAGGCTGACTGGATATCATGCCCAAGATGCTTACAATAGATGGTCAAGGTACTCATATGCAGTTGAACTATAGGCAAAAACATGCTTGATGCCTTTTCTTGTCATTATTTCTTGGCCAGTGCTTTGTTCATGGGGTGCTAGCACCCTCTTTTGTGCTACAACTGTATGATATCACTTATTAAAACAATGATGATAAAGTTGACATTTGAATTTACATGGTCTGTATTAATTCTTCACATCTTTGATTACTTGTTTTTTTCTCCGATCCATAATTTTTAGAGGTCTATGAAGAGATTTTGGAGACAGTTTCTTATATGACATTTTTCTCACCAAAAATATCAATCAACATGAGGAGCCTCTGGCTCTTGATGATGGAAGCACTTGCAGACTAGCCAATTGATTTCTTCCAAAGTAAGTTCTTAAAACTATAGTTGATGTTATAATCAGTAGAACGGTGATTCCACAGAATGTTCCTTGCACTTTTTGACTCAACTTTTCTGGTCAGTTTCTTGTTTTTATGTCCCTGTTGTACTGTGTACTAGTTGGATATTGAGATCTTCATTGATGTTACTAAGGGAGAGTTTGCAAATGTTTTTGCATTAAAAAAAGCACTTTTGAAGCAATTTTAATTTGGAAAAAGTGATTAATAATAAAAGTTGATTGTGTTTGTGAAAAAAGTTGATGGGAGCATTACAAGTTCAATAGTATTTTATTGTAGCTTCATTTTCGGTAGAGTAACTTTGGGAGAGGTTAGACCTTGTGATTATAAATATTACCAATGCAGCATATTATAGGTTGGTTTTTTTATAGTAGCATAAGTTTTTATTGCAAATTTTGGGGAGATTTGTTACCGAAAAAGGGAAACTAATAGTTAATCACTTTTAACATTCTTGTCATAGCAATCATAATCTTACTTATTACAGTTATAATGGTTGTATACTTCCAAGTGTTGAAGTGAATTGTTATAAAACAAATAGTATGATACAATTGCTTATTTTATTGTGAATTTATAGTAGTTTTGTTTTTATTGCAGATGCATAAAAGGAAAAGAAGCACATGGAGGTGATAATAAGATCAAGAGGATGAATGATGAAAAGAAGACAAGAGAGACAAATATAAGGAATTACTTGTTAAGATGTATAAAAAGAAAATATGATAAGAAGCAAAGCCAATGTAATAAATTGAATTATATATTTATTGCGAAAGTTTCATATGTTATCTTTTGTTGCTTTTTGTTGCACTATATGTGTTTCTTTTTGTTGCATTGTGTTTCTTGTTGTTGCATTTTGTTGCTTATTGTTGTTTGTAGTTGAATTTGATTTTAGTTGTTTATTTAGGTTCCTGCTTATATATCTTTGCTACTTCTTTGGAATAAAAAAATCAAAAATTATATATTTGTTGTGATAGTTTCATATGTTATCTTTTGTTGCTTTTTGTTGCGTTATATGTGTTTCTTTTTGTTACATTTTGTTGCTTATTGTTGTTTATAGTTGAATTTCATTTTAGTTGTTTATTTAGTTTCCTGTTTATATATCTTTGCTACTTCTTTGGAAGTTGGAAGTAGGAACCAGAAAATCATTATAGATATGTAATCACCTAAAATGATAAATTTGGATTTATGAATATCAGCAATAAAACTTGAAGAAACAATAAAAAAATTGCAACAAAAATAAACATACAGAAACATAAAGAAACAACCTGCAACAAAAAATAACAATAAAATAATAATAAGAATTAAACTTTGTAGCTCCTTACAAATTTATCAAAAATTATACTTTGTAATAATTTAAGCTTTTTTACGTTTTTACTATTTTAGATTTTTTACATTTGGCATTCCAGCTTGGAATTATTACCTTTTCTGAATATTTTAACTTTTTACCTTTTTTACTTTCTATTTTTTTTTAATTTTTTTAATATATTGTATGTTTTTTTTTTTTTTTTCTTTTGGGTTTTAAATTTTTTTTTCCTCATAAACCATTTTTATTTTACTTTTGTTAAGTTTTGTGATTTTTTTCATTGTTTAATTTTTACATTTTTGCTGTCTAATTTTGATTTAAAAAAAGTAATTCTTCAGCTTTGACTTAAACGAAGTATTTTAGAATCACAAGAAATAATAGTCTTACTACACTGTACTTCAAGCTTTTATAGATTTAAAAATTACAGATTTTATATTTTGTTTTATTGTAATCATTTTTAGATATATTTTCAGCTCATGAGATTTTCAGAATTTAATTTTTTTTAAATGTTCCCAAATACTCCATATTTCACAATTGAGCAATTTTCCTCATACTTATATTGAACGAACGGATAGTATATGCCATTTAAGCCTTAAGGCTTAAGTGCCGTTAAGTGCCGTTAGCCCGTTACTGCAGTTAGCAAGCTTAAGGCTATTCTTGAAAAAGCGTTTTGATTAGTCTATTTTTGAAAGAAACTTTCAAAAGTGAAAAAATTGATATTAGTTTTAGTTTTTAGTCTATTTGTGAAAAATTCCCTAATTTTTATTCAAACCATAATTCCCCAAACGGGTAATGAGTATAACCGCGGATAATAACTATATTACATGAGTCATTGAGTCATTGATACTTTAATATAAAATTACTGTTTTAAAATGTGAAAATAACATCGCATAGACAATTTTAGACTTCAGACGTCATTTAAAAGTTTCATATCTCTACAAGACGAGATAGAAAATCAGACAACCTAAATTAATTTGGACCTACATATACTTAATTTGAAAAATAATTATTCGCAAAAAAATATGATAATAATCAAATAAGTCTATTAAAATCTATTATAAACCTTTCATTCATACACTATAATTAGTACATCCATTATTCATATATACATAATGAAAAGAGAAGAATTTCTCTTTTATTAATTGTGGGATAAATAATATATAAAAATGTAATATTAAATACGGAGTATGCTGGGTGCCGAACATATATTAAATCAACATATTCCATCCGTTAAAACTAAAGTTCCAAATTGAATGGAAGCAATATTAAATAGGGAGTATGTTGGATGGAATGAAATAGAATGAAGTCAAGGCTTGAAGGGACTTAACACTTCATTTTTAACGGAGTTAGCTAAGGAACAAGTGTAAAAAGGTATTGTGCAATGATGGAAGCATATTGTTCAATAATATATTCCTTTGTGTTACACCAACACATTTAATATACCAAAAATATCTTAACCTTCATGGGTGTTTATAAAATTATTATATATAGTAGTCTTCCTGTCAGGACTATCCGGAAACGGACCTCCGTACGGACCTCGACGTTTGGGCCTCTTCCTGGTGGAATTTTTTGATGAAATTTTTTGAACATGTTCTTCATCAAGTCTAGTTTATCCATACCAAATTTTAGCTAAAAATTCAATCGGGAAGGCATTCAAATGATTTTTAGAAGTTAACTGCGCACTTTATATACATATAAAATGCAGTTAACTTCCAAAAATCATTTGACTGTCTTCCCAATGGAATTTTTAGCTGAAATTTGGTATGGATAAACTAGACTTGATGAAGAACATGCTCAAAGAGTTTCATAAAAAAAATCCACCGGAAAGAGGCCCAAACGCCGAGGTCCGTACGGAGGTCCGTTTTTGGAGGTCCTGACATGAACTTTCCTCATATATATATATATATATGTGATAGAGTATATAGACTCGGACCCCCGGGTCTCACGACTATTGGGCCCGGACAGCGGCCCACATACGCTCAGTAGATAGCATTTATCTCATTGTACACTCTATTTTATTCATGTATATCCATTAGAATAGATTAGATATCATTTATTAGCCATTTATTGGCCTTTTATTGTAACTGGGTCAACCAGGCCCAAGCCTGGAAGCCCAGCCCTCTTTTCTCCTATAAATACTCCCTATGGGAGCCATGTAAAGGATTGGATGGTTGATTGTAATTCATTATACACATATCACTTTATCTCTCTAGCTCTCCCTTCTCTCTAAGATTAAATAATCTATCAATATATTATAGGAAAAAGAGGCAAAACCACCCCTCAAGTAGTCACTAAAGCGCATCTATGCCCTTAATCTTTTATTTTGTGCAAAAAAACTCTAAAATCCCTCAAAAGAGGGCAATGACTGCCTTCTTTAACGTGAAGCAATTTAACGGCGCTAGCAAGTCTTCACATGGCTCCTTTGGCTTTTCAATGGAATGTATTTTAACTGTAGTTATAACTAATTTTGTAAATGAGTTGAAAAATATAAAAAAAAAACAATTGCATACTACGTATATAAGTAGTGTCAAGATATAAATTTCCATCTTAAAAGATCAATCATGTATGATATGTAACTCAGATCTTAATATAATACTTTATTACTACCTCCGTCCCTTAATACTTGGTCAAGTTTGACCGGCACGGTAATTAATAAAGTAAAAATTGTGTGGTAGAGATTTGTGCAGAGGAAAGAGAATTAACTGGAATCACAAATTATTTACTTAAAAGGAAAAGTTACAAAGTTAATGAGAAATCCAAAAAAGAAAAATTGACAAAGTTTTAAGGGACGGATGGACTCTTCACAACTTTCCATTGTCAATTTTCCATTGTGAGACTTCAACAAGTATCCAATAAAAAGTGATTGATGTAATATAACAATGATTATACAAAAAAAGTTATGAAAAAGTTCTATTAATATTACTTTTTAAAATGTGATGGACAAAATCACCACTTAATAACTACTAGTGACAATAATTGTGTTTAAATTTAGTAATGATGACATATAAGTTATTACGATGTAACTACAAACATATTAATAATCACTAATAGTTACTAAGTGTTATTTTTATCCATAACTTTTTCATCATTAATATTTAATGAAACCCCCCAAAAGTTATTAGCAATTAGAAAAGTGACATATTCAGCGATTATTATATCCTAGTGACTCATCATTTACTAGTGACTTGTTGTTCTGAAATATACTATAATGATTATTGTCTAGTTACTCGTACACAATTACTAGTTACTCCGTATGTTTTTGCCCAAAACATAACTAGTCATATTCTTGTCCAAAAAAATTCTGTTAGTAATACACATGTCAATTTTGTTTTATATTTTGATATAAATATTAAGAAATACAAATAGACTATATTTTGTGTTGCATATGTTTTACCATATTTACCACACAAAACCTGTTCGATAATATGGTTTCAAATTTCGACTTATTAGTTATGTTTTTGTCAAACTATTTTAAATCAGCTGTTTTAGATGAATTGTATAATAATCAAATTAAGTGAGTGTGAAGCTGGTAAAATTGAATCAATTTTTTTAAAGCTAGCTATTTTAGCTTTTTCATCTAACTTTTTCTTTATATTACTATATGAGATGAGAGGGAATAGTGTGGTTATTATGGAAAGTTAGATTGTGTTCTCGTATTAAATAAATTGATAAAATGTGAATAAATTAAGAATGAATTGCGATTGCCTAAATATTATCAAATATGGTATGAGGCAAAGTAAATGTAACCGACGAAAAATGTTGAATGAAGGGGATATTAATAAAAATATATTCTAAATATCATTTCTTTGTAATTCTATAGATTCAATTAAGGGAAAAGTACATAAAATGTACATGTGGTTTCGGTCGTTTTCATATAGGGGCACATGTTTCATTTTTTAACAAAGTGAGTCATGTGCTTCAATTCCGTTATCACAACTGGGGCATGACGTCTAATGCCGTTAAAAAATTTAACCCTGATTCAGAAAGTCTCCGAAACATTAAAAGAAAAATACTGGGAGGTGCGTCTCGTCAAGGAGACCAACAAACTATCGTTCTCTTTGAATTTTTCGGCTCTAATTGTATTTTTTTTTAAATGAATTTGTTTATATCACTTTTTCGACGGATTTTTTGGCGACATGGTGGCTGGAAACAAAGAAAGAAAGATAGTTTGTTGGTCTCCTTGACGAGGCGCACCTCCCATTATTTTTTATTTTAATGTTTCGAATACTTTTGAAAATCGGGGTTAGATTTTCTAACGGCGTTAGACGCCATGCCCCTGCTATGATAACAGAATTGAAACACATGTCTCACTTTGTTAAAAAATGAAACATGTGCCATCATCTGAAAACGGTCAATACCACAGGTACCCTTTCTATACTTTTCCTTTCAATTAATTGAGTTGTTTCGGTCAAAATTTCAGCATATTCAATCAATTAGGTCAATTTCAATGTTATCAAAGGGGTCTAGCCATAGTACGGGGTAATTCTTC